TTCAAAATAAAATGTGTGGTTTTCATAAGAAAATGTTTTGTGTACAAGATCCCGAGGGCTTGTTAGAACATCATTGAACACTGCAGACACACAATTGTTATGCACATGTTTGCCAGAGTTTTCTGTGACAGAAAATAGAATCACTGGAAACAGGATGTAGCAACCAGCACTGAAAATGATCAGCAAAAATAATCAAAGAAGGAGCGTTAATGAGGGGGAACGCCTGCAGCGTCTCCTCCTCTATATGTGCATGTGTACGTTGTGTCCATCTCCGCTGGAGGAGGTAATGATGATGGATGGAGGGAAAAAGACGGAATGAGGCAGATGTGTGCAGTGAGGGTTTGTGGGATAGCACTTGGAGAAAGTCCCCTTCATTTTCTGTCAAATATCTAACCTCTGCTACAATACCAAAGGCATGAGATGATTGTCTTTTATGCTTTGGTAGAAAACACTCATTCATCCTGTTGACAAAGACCCCTTTGTTATAGTATTTTTACATCCGCGCTTTCCCATGTTCCCTCTGTAGCCTGTGGGCAGACAGCTGTGTTGCCATGGTTTTGATCCACAGATGTCGGCGTGCACAATGAGACTTCACCCCAAACTCCACCCACGCTGTGAGGCATTTACATCCGCTTATTATCCCTAGCCGACCCGGAGGTAATCAGACAGGTGATCACACGATTCTTGATCTGAAAGTTGCTTCAACCCTGGCTTTGATGACACACCTCAAATGACATCAGGCCCGAGACCCAGGACAGGGAACGTCCTTCATTTCCGCACAGATCACCGCGGTGGCGTCATGTCTGGCGTTGACAGCTGAGGTGGAGAGAATGTCTTCTGTGTTTGCGTGTGGTTTTAAATGCAGTTTGTGTCTTGGTGTATGTGTATACTGTTTGTGTGTAAATCAAGACACTAAGAATCCCTGCAGTGGATTGCAGATGCTCGGCCGTTGTCCAGCGTCCCTCTGTGAAGTGCCCTGTTCTTCTGTTTTGACATTGCAACATCAGTTCTTGGGTTTCCAATCCAACCAATTGTGCCTTCTCAGGCGCCCAGACTATTGAGAAACACCAAATCCTGAACACAAACTCATTAGTGGGTACATGCCAATTTTTTATATGAAAAAAAATCCCAGTTTGGTCCTCAAGCTGTCTAACCCCACAACTAACGGGGACCTCTTGACATACCATTGGAAGTTTCTATTGCCTCATCTGGAAACTACGGATCATTTAATACTACGTCTTCGCACATCAATGCCAACAGTAAATGCTCCTTTTACACCATCTGTTAAAACTGTAACATATGTATTTCATAAACTAGATATTTTCTGTGTCACCTTTTGCCAATCTTTGACAAAAACAAATATTCAAGCCAAACTAACAGCAACTGGGTCTTTGAACACAGCAGTCCGCATTCACTTTCTTCTTTCTTCATCATAGGAAGTGTGTTGGTTTCTCTTTGATGCATACTGTATATTTTTGAATGATTACAGTTCAGGTGGTCCAGCATCCTCTTCAAATGAGATAGCTCTCTTTCTTTAGGTTGTACAATTCAGACTTCACCGCATTTATGGCTTAACTTGCATGAACCAGTAAACAAAAATGTTTAGGTGATTAATTTCACAGCATGGGCCTTCATATAAATGATATCTAATGGCTGACTGGTGCTGTATTTATGCAGGTTGGAACGGAATAGCCGACATGGCTGTGTCTAGTGCGGCACTGAAGCCCGAGCAGACCTGAGCTCAGACATCTATCGACTCCACCAGTCACACGCTTGGGATTTAACAACCTTTATGGTGGTGTTGTTTGCTGATGTGACACTTACACTTGAACCGTTGAACTTGTAAAACCCATGGTGTGTGTGTGTGTGTGTGTGTGTTAATGCGTCATGTGTGAAGGAAGGAAAGATGTGTGACAATCCAGAGCGAGAGATACGCGGTCACGTTAGAAATGACGTTCTGTTCAGACTATGACTCCTCTCGCCCCCAAGTGGGTGAGTGAGAGCGCAACTGTCAGCGTGTGAGTATCCAAGTATCGGTGCATCCCCAGGCCCTCGCTGTGGTTGTTTTTAGTCCTGCCGCTTTAACCGAGGTCTACTCGCATAGTCCCTGCGTTGTCTGTTGCGGCGCAGAGCCGACGCGGGGCCTGATACCTTTGCAGATTCGACTGCCAGAAAAACTTTTATGAAGAAATGTGAGGCAGGAAAAGGGGAGGTGAGAATAAACAGAGAAACTGTTTTCTTTAAGCCTCTGTTTTACTTTGCTAACCAGTGTCCAGAATCCACATTTGGCTGTCATTGCAGGCATGACGGACAGGAAGTCAAGGAGAATGAGCGTGTTTATGCATGTGTATGCATTGCTGCATGTGTGATTGGTGCTGCATGCCTGTGTACATATAGAGCCCTTTTTAATGTAGGCATGTGTACATGCACATGTTAGAGTGGTTATTCCTTTGTGACTATTTGTTTAAGCATATTCCACATATTAGTAATAAATAAAAGTTATGCAACCACAGAATCTTGAAAACGTATCCAGGTCATTTTTTTAGACGATAAGGTGCTGACTGAGGGGCTGGAAAGCTTAAGTGGGGTTTTGGGCGACGACGGGGTGATATAGATGTGTCCATCTTTTCAATGACACCTCTAAAGGTCCTTTTGGATTCGGACTTGGCCAGACTGGGCAACAGTTGCCGCCTCTCCTTCTATTCCTCACCTCTCAATTTCTTACCTTACTCGCATACACAAAGAAGCTGTGATAACAAAACACAACGCGGTCCCAAATGTCCAATTGCATAAGAAACGATCGGTTTCTTCCCAGTTCTCCCCGTCAGCGTAGGAGTTCTGCTTTGCGCGTTATGCCTCTCGCCTGGAAACACACAGAAATGCGCACAAGCTTCACAGTCGTAGCTGGGGAAATGCGGGCCTGTCCCAAAGACAACCTGGCTCCAGGACCTGAGGGATTTCTCACACCGACACATCGCTTTGTCTCACCACAGGCCCTGCCCCTTTAAACGGCAATAGAAAAACTCCCGGAGAGCGTAGAGCACGGCTGAGAGGACGCAGCGTTGAAAGAGAGGTAGAAGTGACGGTTCCAAAGCGAGAGGTTTGGTATGAAGGCGACATTGAGAAGAACAGCAGTAGAAAATTGGAGAGGAAATTGAAGGAGATGTGAGAGGTTAATTACCTTAACTTGTTAGCTGTCTATCATCTCAGCATGTGCGCCAGCTGATAAAGCCAAACAGTATTTCCTGTTACGGACCTGCTGACGGAGTCGTAGTTTGAGCCGGTGAAAGAGCAGCATGTCAGTGGTGCTGATGTGTTCTAAAGAATTCTCATCATCTCACTCCAACGTCTTTCACTCAATTCAATTCAATTTAATATGCGGCATTGGCAAAGCGTCAAGCGTCAAGCGTTTTAATGAGATTAAAACCAAAAAAAAAAGGTGCAATTCATAGAATAAAGAAAATAACAGAAAACAATGATTGCTCTCTCTTTTTTGTGTGTTTTACGAAAAGGCTTGGCAAAGCGTGCCGATTGTATGCGTTCACTGTGTGTTTTATTTATCCGTCGCCTTGCTCTCCCCCAAACGTCTTTCATCCCCTCCCTCCTTGTTTTTGATGTACTGTGCCTGGCAGCAGTCAGTGCTTTAAGAGGGTATTAGCAGGGTGTCTGTACAGTACTATCACAGCTTAGTGGGCCAGTGCAGGTGAGACAGCAGGGATTTCCTGTTAGGCCTCTCTGCTACATTCTTTCTAAATTGCTCTTTGCCAGGTGGGGTTGAAGGGGAGGGTGGTCTCTCCCGCTCCGTTGTATTCTGTCTCATACACTCAATGGCAAACACTGATGCACGCGCACGCATGTGGCACCACATGGGTGCAGGACAGGATGATGTGCATGTGCCAACATACTGTACGCACAAAGGATTAGTGCTGCCACTGGTGTGTGCATGTGTGTGTGTGCCAGTGTGGAGTGGGGAGGACAGAGCAGGCCTCAGTATTGGTGTCTGGTTGTCTGCCAGAGGAGCAATATGAGATAAATACTTCACCATCTTACACCTGGGGGTCCCGACCTGCTTCTAATGCCACTGCTTGAGAGGGGCCCTCTGTGTGCCTGCAGCCTGCAAGGTGCACTCTCATTTTACACAAACTCATACGGGCAGGTAGGAACCCATGCTGGCCCAACACCATATCTCGCAATTGCCCGCTCAGTAGATGTGTTATTTTCCATTTCTTTACTTTTTTACTGCCACACTCCAAGTCTGGCTTGTTAAAACGACAGTTTAGAAGACCTCCCTCTTTTCTTTTAATTATCTACAGAATGCATGTTTGTGTGTCTCGTGAATTCCTAAAACAAAGTAATGCACACCTTGAAACTCAGTTGAAATGGGTTTCCTTATTGCGCATGGCGAAAAGTGAAAAAGAGCAACAGAGCAGCACAGTGTTATGTGTGAGTGGGAACTTTTGTGTGTGGGTCACTGTAGGCGGTGCCGCACAGCACTGATGGATGTCCAATAACATCTTCTGGATTGAGCTCAGATACAACTCATCTCAGTGCACGTGGTCAGATACTGAGGATTTTAATGTGTGAGTGTGAAGTGTGGGAGCAGTCTGATCTATGGCAGCGCTGGTCCAGTCACACAGCAGGCTGAATAACAAACGATTGAACAGGCTCCCCTCTCTCTCTCTCTCTCTCTCTCTCTCTCTCTCTCTCTCTCTCTCTCTCTCTCTCTCTCTCTCTCTCTCACTGCCTCTCGGTACATAACAACTACTTCCATGTGTCAACAAGCACAAATGTGTTGAGAAATATCAGTTTTAGGTCTGAATAGTCGCATACTGAAAATAAATTAGTATTATTATTATTATTATTAAGTATTTCTTTGCTAAACTGTATTGAATATTGTTTTATATTACCTACTCTGACTCGTATCCCCTTTCTCACCCCAAGAATCCTTGTTTGTCTGATTATATATATTTTGTTTTATGTCTTTTCCTGGTCTTTTCTAGGTAGATGCTCTGCGAGTGCGTCTGGAGGAGAAGGAGCAGTTACTGACCAAGAAGACCAAGCAGCTGCAGGACCTGACCGACGAAAAGAGCACTTTAAGTGGAGAGATCAGAGACATGAAGGACATGCTGGATGTCAAGGAGAGGAAGGTTAATGTCCTGCAGAAGAAGGTAAGTGGGTCCAACTTTTTGAATGGATTTTATTGATTCTTTTTTCCACTTCCACATTTGGCAGGAAAAACGTGCTCATGGAATTTAATCACTTTTATACCATAACAAAGAAGTGCAGATATTCTGTCACCACATCTGTCACCACACAAACTAGCTTGTTAACCGGCCATATTGGAAGCTCATTTTCTGTTCTGGCTACGTGATCATGTCTCTGTGACTGTGAATCGACAGGGAGCATGTTTGGTAAATCAATCAACGCATGTGTGCAAAGTAAGATATTATTCTCCCACTATTTCTTTTGGTTAACAGAGATACATTCCATAGATACAGAGGATCGCTGTTTCAGCAGCTCAAGTACAGAGCCAGATTAACACAATAGATAAAACATATTATACAACGAATAAGAATAATATGTATATATATATATATATATATATATATATATATATATATATATATATATATATATATTGGTACCTCTGTGTGTGCATTAGTCCCAATGAGTTCAGTGCAGGAGAAACATCTCTCCATATACGCACACATATATGCACACCTGCATGCAGACACACACACACACACACACATATAAAGGCTTGCTCGCACGGCATGTCACAGAGGCCTTAATGAATTTTATAAGGTTAGCTATTTAGACAGGGCCTGTGGCCACCTGCGGTGCGCATCTTGGCAATTCCTCTTTAGACCAATTACACACACGTAAAGGTCCTCTCTCAACTTCCTCGTTTCCTGTTATGTCCTCAAATTAGATCTGCCTTACTCTCCTTCCGGCCTCCCTCTTGCTGAGTTTAAAGAAAGAGGTCTCCGAAGGTCACATGCCGTGTCACAAATCAGTGTGGATGCATGTGGATGTGTGTGCATGAATATGTTCAAATGCATTTTGATGTCTGTGTGACCTCGGGGTGTTTCTGTGTGAGAAGCTTAAAGATGACCTTCATGTGCTCCCTGCGCGTTTCTCCTTTGGGTTCCACCTACAGCACTTTATGTCAGCTTGTTTTTAGCAACATAGGCCCCTTTTTTTGACAGATCATTCACGGGTGATTTCAACTATGACTTTATTTCGCAGCCGAAGAAATATTGCCGCCAGCTTTTTTCGGAGGAATTTTAAAAATGTACTTACTACTCGTCATATTTTACTACATGGCTTTGTGCAGTATTTTACTCTTGTATTTTACGCCTTTGTTGCCAGTTTCTTCCCCACAGAAAATGTGTATGTGTATATATTACGGAGGGTTCCCTCTACCTGTACCTAGAGATAAAGGATATATTCAGCTGCAGAATGACTCAAAACTTTGAGGTGACGACTTAAAACGGAATGTCGGGGGTTCTCAGTAGGCAAATGGTTAAGGATTTCTGCAATGTCCAAGGCTTGATTTTAGCTGAGGGCCTTTGTTTAATTTTGTACCCTTGTCTCCCGAAAACACAAAATACCAGGACTGTCTTGTAAAAGTGTTGTACAACAACAAGCCACTTCAGTGTTGAATGTTGCATTTCCTTTCGTCAGCCTACTGGCGGCGGTTTAGGGATTCTTGGTGGTTAGCACTGTTGCCTCACAGCAAGAAGGTCCTGGGTTCGATTCCGCCCAGTGGCCTTTCTGTGTGGAGTCTGCATGTTCTCCCCGTGTCTGCGTGGGTTCTCTCCGGGTTCTCCGGCTTCCTCCCACAGTCCAAAGACATGCTCTGGGGATCAGGTTAATTGGGGACTCTAAATTGCCCGTAGATGTGTGAATGTGAGTGTGAATGGTTGTGTATCTCTGTGTAGCCCTGCGATTGGCTGGCGACCAATCCAGGATGTACCCTGTCTATCGCCCGAAGTTGGCTGGGATGGACTCCAGCCCCCCCCGCGACCCTGTGTGCAGGATAAGCGGTTTGACAATGGATGGATGGATGGATCATTGTGTTTCGTATACGTTGGGCTCTAGTTTTCAGGGACACTATAAGGCAAAAGAAGGGTATGTAAAGACAATAATTGGATCCCACTTGTGAAAAAGTATAATGTCATGACTGATTTCTTCCCAGGATCCAGCTGTCCCTTACACTTCCGGTGCCTACATCTCAAGGGTACATTTTCCTCAATTTAGGGGGAAGCCTTTTATGTTATGGAACGAGGTTCAGCCTGGATTAGGTCATTTAAAAGTCCAACGAGTGGCTCTCCTTCAACTCGTAAAATTGTCAGATCCGAATGAGTCCTGCCCCCCCTCCCCGGATGTAACGATTCGGTATCTAAACCAGACACACGAGCACACAAACAAACGTGTCATCCTCCCGGGCAGCTTCGAGGATTAAGATGGTGCACCTGTTTTTTTTTTACAACAAGCCATCTTCACTTCAAATGGCTCCGAACCGCCCTGCACACGGGGTGTCGGTGTTGATGACGCAGGCTGATGACAGATTTCAATTTAATGTGTGTGTGTGTGTGTGTGTGTGTGTGCAGGAAAACCTGCTCTCCTTCCGGTCTTTCTAAGAGCAAAACCACTTTGATTTTTACTGGCTGTGATATTATATGGAGTTATTCCGTTTTTGGGAGTATTTTCTTTTCGCTATATTGACTTTTTATATATTTCGCTTTGACATTAAAAGAGCCTGCTCTCGTCATCTCCAACAACTGAAAAGGTTTCTACCGACCATTTGAATCGTCAGCTTTACGACTTTATGTACATAGAAATTACTCCTCTAACCATCACCCTATCCAACGGGGTCCCTGCAGACCCCAGAAGTAAATAAATGTGTTCTAATATATTTAAGGTATTAGTGGACAGTTTTTTCAACTCATTTTGAAGGTCAGATTCCTTCATGTGCTCTGGCTCTCTTTGTTTCACACTATGCAAATGAACTACAACCTTCGTTCGTAAGATTAGCATCATTAACTATAATGTTTTAAGAGGAGATCATTTCATATTTTGCCATGATATTGTTGATTCTCCTTCCTTTCAGTCACTAGTCCTTGTATGTTAACTTGGCCGGTGGACTAAGGGTTAAATGTCAGCTGCGTTTGCAGTGTGGAACTACTGAATGGTAAAGGGCCCTTCTACATCCACCTGGCAATCAATTATTTATCCCAGCCAGTGACACTTTATACACTAGAGTAATGGGTGGCAGATGAGTCACAGCTTGACCGGACTTTTGAAATGATTGCAGTGTATCAGTGAGATACTCTCTTAATTTGCAACACATATCACTCACTGGTGCCCTGTTATCCGTCTCAGGAGAGTATGAGGATTTTATTCTCTTCCAAAAGGCCTCTCTATGGACGGTCACAATGACTTATATCACGGTACCATGATGTCATTGCTGTGGTTTGAGCTCTAAATTGATCCTAATACTTTGAGGCTGAATTTAACAAAAAATAATGAGGTCTTTAAATTAAAAACGAAAAAAAAATGCATATGCTGGGTTCGTGCCGTCATTTTCCGTCTCAAGTATCACAATCAGAACAGTGGGAGCTCTGTTCGAGACCGTGACCGGTGCATAATGATGCATTTATTTATTTATTTTCTTCATTTTCGGTCGGCTTTTTTTTTTTTTGCTGCGGGGGCAGAGGGTGTGGGAGGAACACACGGAGAGCCGGTCGTGGTGCGGTTTTGGCATACATGTGTTATTCATGTTCAAACATTGTGGTTGTCTCAATCCATATTCATGCTTTTAAAAAAGACTGGCTGTGTGCATGGAAGTATACTATCCCCTATCATGTTCCCTCCCTATAGCAACCGCAGACGGGGAGATTTGATTACGGCCGCTTAAGCCGCATCGGCCATACGTGTGCATGTTTGTCTCTGCGTGTGTGTGTGTGTGTCCATACAGAAGGATGCCGTGTACACAAGGGTCTCTGTTCGTTATAATAGTGTCTAGCTAGGTATCCCCTAGACCTCCTCTGGGGAACCCGGCTCTGTTTCAGCGCACCTTCTGCCAGACTCAGACTGTCAGCACTTGCTCCAGCCTGGTGTCATCAGCACGGCGAGGCCTTTGATTATGAGGAAGAAAAGTAAAGAGGGAGAGGGAGAGAGTGATATATAGATAAATAGACATGTTCCCTGCCCCCCAGCACCCACCCATCCCATCCCACCCACCAAAACACACACACTTTGATCTCTCTCTGTGGAGCGTGGGCTCTTCTGTTTGTCCATTTTTCTTAATTTTAGTTTAGAGAGTTTTCACTCCATTTCACGTCCCTCGTGGAATTAACAAATGTATACCATCTAATGACCATTTTCTCTCCTCCTAAGAGGACTACCCATGGAGGTTTATTGACACTATGTTTTCCTATTAAACCTCCCTTTTATCTTCTTTTTCTGCTTGTTTTAAACTCTTCTCCAGAACAACATTGGCATGCACATGGGTAGGATGGAGAGGATGTACTGTATTTTGTTACAAAGTGAAATATTTGTTCTGCATTGACACAGGGTATGTGTTTATCAACAAGGCATTGCTTTATATACTTCTGTCTGTGTATGTACGGCAACGGTCCGTTAGATGCTTAGTCTTGTTTACTTAGTCTTTGGTCAGTTATTTCTGGATCGAAATCAGATTATGCATCCAAGTCGTACAGCTACTTTGGTTGAGACAACAAAATACGCAAAAATGCATCGGATTTGGCACATTTTGATTGGGTTTGTGTTTACGATGTAGGTGTATGATCCTTAAACTGAGGTATTGAAGAAAGTATGAGGACTGAACCTCAAGTTTCATCGTATTTGCAGGACTCGTGATCTTTAATTTTTTATTGCCTGAAGCTGTCACCTGACAGAATTGAAACATTGAATATAATAACTAACCTAAATACACTGTGGAGCCGAGTGCAGAGTGATTGTGTGTGTGTGTAACAGCTCTATTTCTAAAATATCTTATAACCCTTTTTCTGTGTGTGCATGTGATCTTGATAGATCTTGTGAGGGGGGCCAACCATGCCTTTCATCCTAATGGATTCCATCTGACCAATCACAGCGCAGAGACATGGTAACAGATAAGCCCGTTGGAGCTGGGGAGGTT